TTTTATGACAGGATTTAGTCTTTTGGATAGGAGCCTATCAGCATGGCCCATCTTGCCTTGGGATCTTTACCAACTCTTCCTTGCAAAAGCATTCTAAATCTGTCAGATTGTGAGATCATCTCCTGTTGCACAGCCCTATTCAGGTCACCCTACAGATTTTCAATTGGATTCAGGTTTGAGTTCTGACTGGGCCTTCCAAAAATTTGATTTTCTGGTGAAGCCATTATTTTGTTGATTTGAATATTCCTCTTCATCTTTAGCATTTTAGCACAGATCTGAAAGTTTTATGTCAAAATTGACCAGTATTTGGAATTGTTCGTCTTTCCCTACACCTTGACTAAAATCCTAATTCCAGCTAAAGAAAAAGCAGCCCCAAATCATAAAGCTGCCATTACTATGCTTCACTGTGGGTACGCTGTACTTTTGGTGATATGTTTCTGCACCAAACATATTTTTTGGAATTGTGACCAAAAAGTTCAACTTTAGTCTCATCAGGCCACAACATGTATTTCTCGCATGGTTTCGTTAGATTTTTGTAAATATCAGATTTGGATGTTTTTCTTTGTAAGAAAACATTTCTATCTTGCCACCTTACCCTGCAGCCAAGGGAATATGAAGAATACAAGAGATTGTTGTTGCATGTAGTACATAACCAATACTTGCCATAAATCCTTTAATGTTGCTGTAGGCATCATGGCAGTTTCTCAGACTAATTTTCTTATTCTTTTTCATCAATTTGGGAAGGATGTCAACTTCTTTACGCCATTAGTGTGCCATATTTTCTCTACTTGTTGATTACTGTCTTCACTGTGTTCCATGGTATAGCCAATGCCTGGAAAATTTTTTGTACCCTTCTCCTAACTGATATCTTCCAACAATGAGATCCCCTTGATGCTTTGGAAGCTCTTCGCAGACCATGCCTTTTGCTGTACGAGACAACTGAGTACATGTCAGAAAAATCCTACTAGAAAACATCAACTTTATATGGGTTTAATCAAGGTCACTTTAATTAATGACAGGTATGTACTGACTACTAATTAATATCAGGTTGAATATGATTGGTTAATTCTGAACACAGCCACTTCCCTACTTATAAGAGGGTATACACACTTATATAACCATATTGTCCTAAGTTTTTTTTTCCCCTAAAAGATTTCAGATTATCTTTCAGTTGAATTGTACAGTTTATAGGTTATAGTAAAGGTGGAAAAATCCTGATATGATTTATGTTAGTCTGATTTTCATTTAAAAAATATGTGTCCACTTTTTATATCCCCTGTACATATTCTTTAAATGAAGCACAGATATGCAGGATGCATTCTGGAGTACAAAGGGTTAAAGGAGAGAAAAGACATAAGAGTTAGAGTGAGTTTCATAGTCTAGGTAGGAGATATATATCTTCAGAAAGGTATAACATTGCAAAAATTCTGAACTATTTAAGAAACTGGCACAAATTCCATTAAGGACATTAAGCACAGATATGTCTCAATATTCTTTTTTTTTTTAGAAATGATTGCCTTCATTGTCTTGCTAAGTCTTGCTGCAGTGCTGCAACAGTCTTCTGGAACTGTAAGTTTCATAATTTTTTATCATGTATAGAAGATTTAATACATATACAGTACATAACTTTCTTCTCTTACAATTAATCATTCATTAAATATATTGGATATTTTCATATTTGTGAGGGGGTTGAAATAACATTTAGAAGCAAGAAGAAGAAATGAAGCCAAGACAACAGTCAGATAAATCTGAATCCAATGCAGAAATGTAATTTGAGAAAGAATCTCAGACAAGACTACTCTTAGTTCTCGATAAGATGAAAAGCTGGGGAGAAGTACATTTAGACTTTCAAGATTCTATTGCTATGTTACTGTAATGTTGTAATCAAATAGTATTATCATTCATTACTCTGGTTTCTTGGTCTGGTCAGTAAAATTTGCTCAGTCTAACTGTTCATTTTAATTCAAAAATACATTCCAGGGGTGAACACACAAAGCAAAACAAAATCATGCTGAACAGGGCAGACAAATATAATTAAAACCGGCACATTTAATGAAAAGAATCTTAATAATTTTAATGTCCATGGTCTATAAGAGAACTTCTAGACCCTTATAGACCCTCTGGAATAGCACACACACACACACACCTGAGGTCTGAGGGATCCCCACCCTTTTAAGCCTTCCGGAGGGGAGTGAAGACCCGGCGCTCCCCCCCCCCCCCCCTCCAAATGTTTGTTTCAATGAGGCTCATTGGTCTGATACTTGGTGGGTAGGATGTCTCTCTTTTTATTCCTGTTGTGAGCCACTTAGAATCATTACATGAGATAGACACTATATCAGCTCTTTATATCAATACATAAATTTCACTGCAGTATTCCCTTGAAGAATAGATGAGGGAAATGATTAATTCATTCTAACTTTGTGCTGTGGTCACCTGTTTCTTATGTTGCAACTAGTCTCTTTCCAAATACACAGACAAGTGGGGCCAATGTTTCATAGCTGGGGGTCACACTTCCCATTAGGGGGAAGTGAAGAAAGTTGCAGGAGTAGTCTGGTGGGAGCAGGAGATAAGGCAAAGTCCATTCACAAGGAATGAACCAATATTTCTGATTGATTGATAAAATTTATATTGCTGCCTACTCGCACATGGCGACTCAAGGCAGCTTACAAGTATGAACTTTTCAAACTTACATTAGGGCTATTTTAGGAAATATGCGAGTTTCCTGTCTCAGAATGATGAGGAATCATGCCACCAGTTTTCAACAACAGTTGTAAGAGATGTCCTCCTGGTCCAGGAGAAAAGACATTCAGCCCCGAGGCCGCTAGTTGCCTGTTCTATTTAAAGTTATAATTTTTGTTTATTTTTGTTTTGTTTTGTTTTGCTCTCTGTCTTAAGGTTGATTACCAAAAGGAGATTGTTGACAAGCACAATGCTTTCAGGAGATCAGTGAAACCAACTGCTAGGAACATGTTACAAATGGTAAGCTAAATGTAATTATATTTGTGTCCTTCTCAGAGAGTTTGCACGCTATCTTTCTCCTTTCTACTCACCCTCTGCTTCCTTCACAAGCAGCCAGCAGCTCCTCCCACAATCTCTGGGAATTTGAATCATATAACTATAAACCAAGAATACCAATAACACATTTAGGGTAAGTGCGCTTGAGATTGTGATTTTATTTTATTTCAAAATGACCGGCTTAGTTCAGTGTAATACTTGTTTTACAGCTGTCTTTCGCAGTACTCTTTTCAAACTTGGATACTGTCCTCTTTGTAAAAAAATTA